ATTAAATACCTGAAGAGAAAACTAACACCAAACAAAAAAATCTGTAGAAAAGATGTCAACAGAACTACATCAGCTCCTGGTGGAAAGTGCGAACATGGCATCATCATGTAGATCTGTACTGTATGTTCATCCTAACATGTGTGTATAATGTTYAAACAAACAAATGCATTTCAGTCTTAATGCATGTCTGACTGTGGATTATACAAAGATATAAAAAACAAACAGGAAACTAATGAAGAAACCATAGAAAACACTGTGAACAAACTTTTACCTGAATGGAAACAAGCAGAGGTCTGGTTAAAAATACAGGCATTACTGGCATTTCAGATCAGTTCGTTTACAGGAAAAGTTGACGTATTTTGATGAGGGCTTCTGTGGATAGGTAATGAACAACTAATATCATAAAGTAGAGCAACTGCACTCCATTTTTAAAGTGGTTTTATTATCAGTGTYATCACTTCCAGACTGGTTCGCTGTCGTCTTAGAACCAATCACTTCTCAAATGTTTCATATGAGCAGACTTTAATGACCTTTACACTGCTATTAGTTTCACATTGCACTGTTAGTCTGGCAGAAACCCACATAGCAGACAGGTGTGGGCCAGATCTGGTGTCGAGCTGGTACTGCTGGCTGATGCTGGCGTGGATAGAGGTTTGTAAACCAGATGTGGGTCAGGTCTGGTAATGACGGCACTATTTTTAAGATGTCATGCTACAACTGACCCAGTTGTAGTTTGATTTATGTTTGGTATACTTGCTCCTGCTAAGAACTATAAAATATAATGTAACTATACAACTGCTGTAGTCAGTCACAGTTGCTTTTTTTACAGTAGATCCAATAGAGCAGGAGTGTCAAACTCATTTTCACAGAGCGCTCTCATGGTGGCCCTCAAAAGGCCGGTTGTAATTAACGTTGGTGTTTTGTGTTATCATTTGTTAGCACCACTAGTAAACAATACCTGAGCTCTATGTGGTATTTCCTGCATAGAAACAACATTTTAACACATCCTTTTATATAAACTAAGAAGTACTACATGTACGACTGACTAAATATGAAATACAGAAATATTATTAAAAGTAAATGTAAATGCTCTACTCACTGTTGAGCTGTAGTGAGTAGCTGCCATTTTGAATTTTGAACTCTCCCACTTTCAGACAGGAAACACCCTCAGGAGGTGCGTTCAGTTTAAATTTTCAACCATCTCCACCTAGTGGTTGGATGATGTTGTTTTCATAGGTAAACTAAATGACATGCATTATGGGAGATGTAGTTTATGGTTAAAGCTGGCTTTGAAGCACCATACACTTATTTTAAGACCTTATTACATCTTCTCTCGTGAGCCACAGAAAATGCCAGGCCAGACCACATTTGGCCTGTGGACCTTGAGTTTGACACATGGGAAGTAGAGGAAAAACTATGGAATAACTCAATTCCAAGAAAAAAATATGGAATCAAGAGGAAGGTGTCTTACTGGCCAGACTTTAAGGAAATTCTCAGAAAGTAATCACTGGATGTACGGAACCGGTTAACTATTAAAGTCAGCCTGATTCAAGATGGCTGCCACAGCTAACCGGCTTTAGCAAACACAAAAATGCTTAAACCTCAGTCACTTTTACAGATAGCTATTGGGCAAAAATATGGTGTGGCAGTAGTTGAGAGTCATCAACATCACATATTTTGAACCCTAACGAATCACCTAAAACCTTTGATTATAATTTTGATGTAAGGAATGTCCCTCTATCTTTGTCTAGAAATGACTAGCCTGGCCCTTGCCTTCCTACACAGTTCCACTCAATTCTAGTTTCCCTTCACTCCATCTGGGATTTCTCCCATAGACGAGGATTTCTTCAGGAGAATTTTCATTTGGGCCAATCAGAAACAGAACGTTGATTTTCTGTGCAGTGTCTGCTAGTTATTTTTAGCATACGGCAGTGGAGGAAGTGAATGAAGCCTGTCTGTGTTGATAAGGCTTCCAAATTAAAATAAATTTTTCTGACAAAGCAGCAGCTCTCATTTACAGCCGTCTTGTTCAGCTCTGTACTTTTGTCCTCTCAGTGGGGTTGTTTACAGCACACGCGATTTCCGGTTAGCTTCTTAGCTTAGCCTCCTTCACAGCGACATATGTCGTGGCCAACCGATCCAATCATTTTAAACTTCAGCAGAGGTCACGTCTCCAGCAAGAATCGCTTGTCTATAGCCAAGAGTCCAGACCCTTGTACGAAGCAAAGTGAAGGACAAGTGTCTGGTTTTTACCAGGCTAAGAAATGACACAAATTGCACAGGAAGTGCTACAGCCAGCTACTGAACTAAAAAAAGGACCATTAAATTTAACATAAACATGACTATGCATTTTGAAATTGACTGCAATGCAATAGTTTATACAGTGCTTACTATTTCTCTAAATTGACATCGTTCAAACAGCTATCTACAACAGGTAAGATATTAATTGTTCATAACTTTTCCACTGAGCCCTGCTTCACTTTAATGCGACACACACTACGCTTTGTYTCCTTAGACTTCTTTTAATAAAAAAAAAGGCAACAGACACAAAGATTATGCATCTGTGATGCACTGACGAGTACAACAGTACCAGAAATTGGACCAAGAAACCAAAAACCTTTGCAGTGATGGCGTTAGATGGTCAATCAGATGGTTTGTTTAAGGGCTGACTTGTTGAAAAAGAAGATTTGATGAACTTGCACAGGGACACTATGCAATTTGCTGCCAATGTCACTTTCTGTTTTGGTGTCTCCAAGTTTACATTGTGATCTAAATGAGAGGATTATAAAAAATATATACATAGGCAAGCAAATATTTTGCTTGAACGTTTTTTGTCTGTTGATTATAGTCTGATGTTTAATGATGTATTGATATATAAATGTGCTTACAGTGATGTGATGAAAGCATAATGAAAATAACACTTAGAGATAAAAGTGTGTTCTGTCATTCACACTTTTTGTAGAAGATCAAGTTTATTGTGTAATCTTAAATGTGAAGGAAAGTGCCAGTGTTTTTATTTAGGAATCCTGTGAGGGCTTTTTTTTATGTTTGTTTGTTTGTGTTTAAATGTCAAACAATATGCAATCCATGGATGTCCAGTTCCTTTAAGCTGAGCATCCCTGTCAGTAAAAGCTCAGTCAGTTAAACCCTGGAGTAGATTTATTCATAGTGTCTTAGTGATGTGGTCTTGTTTGGGAGTTGTGTTAGAAAATGTAGTTTTTGGGACACAGAGCAGTTTTAGACCGCCCCCTTGTGGACAACACGTCACAYGACACCAGAGGTTTTAGTGTCATTAGTGTGTTATTCATAAAAAGTCTGATACTTGTCTGTAGATCTTGTTATTATAATTATGAACAGTTAGCCGGAGGATGGACACATTTTACATCTATTCCAGTTTAATTTGTCAGTTTCATTCCTTATAATGCAAACATGGACCCAGTGTTTAGAAATTAAGCATCAGCGTTTTGTGTAAAGTGACAAATTGAACTTTATGTTGTGACAAGTATTTGTATTTATTTTGATTTCTGTATATATGTTATTATTATTTTTATATATATTTGTTGTATTTATTGAACGTTTTTTATTTATTTGTGTAATAAACTTTGTTTTTACTGATGACATTATTTAAGATGAAAACTCTCCCATTTTCTCCTGCACCAGTCCATCAGAATCTGTGATCATTCATGTACTGACTTCTCATTCCACTGGTCAGAGCCTGAAGGCTAAAACTGCTTTCATGTGTGTCTTTGTTCCAACATTTGACCTTTTTTTTCTTTTACACCAGTTATCTCTGATGATTCTTTGTGACGTTGCTACATATTTACCAGCCACTGTTGTGAATAATTGATGGG